AAGAACACGGTGAACCAATATATCCACGAAAAATGTTTGCAATTATACCAATTGAAAAGTGAATGGGAACTTACTCCATTCATTCCGAACATTTTCTTATATTGCTTCCCTAATGCATTTCTAGGCTCAGTCAAAACCTGTAGAACAAATTCTAAAGTGTTAAAATGCATTATAATGAGTATTATTAAAGTTTTAAGTATCTGGAGACACTTCTCAAATTTTCAATGAGCAACCACCCATAATAATAATAAGATTAATAATACCGATATAATAATAATAATAATAATAACAATAACAATAATGATGATGATGATGATGAACCGAGGAAATCAAGGATTATTGCACAATAAGCTAGACCAATCGCTTACCAATAGTTCTTAGTTATGGTCGGCCTTAGAGTTAGATCGAGGTACTCTTCTCACAATGTGCATACTTTCATTGGAAATATCATACTTTGAAAAACAACATAAACAAAAATATGACATTTGACAACATATATATGCACTTTTATTCATAAAGGTTAATTTGTCTCGCACAACAATTTGTGATCTTTTATATGCACGCCCAATAGACAGAAATTACAATGTCATTAAACTTGTTAATACAAAAGGGGAAAAAGTAAAACATGCGAAAATTGATTGATTTGAAGAAACACTATTGTACCACATTTTTATTCCATGAATGAATAATTACCTGAACAAGCTGATCCTCAGTAAGTGCTGACAAGCTAACAAGTACGGGAAAGCGTCCGACAAACTCTGGAATTAGCCCATATGCAATAAGATCACTACTTTCAACCTGAAAATTTTGGGACGTATCATGCACATGCCCTTTTCATATAACATTTTATTATATCAAAAGGTACCCTGGTGGTTTTGCCCAATTAGAAAGGAAAAATAGTTCATTTCAATGAAAAATACATACTTAAAATTTACGAAAACCCCGAGTTTGCATATTCTTAACAGATCCTCTCCAGTTGAAGTTGCAATTATGTAAAATCAAACAAGTGTCAACCGAATTCATAATCTGAAATCTTAAAGACAGTTGTTTCTTTCTTTTTTTTTCTACTTTTTTTTTCAGCACAAACAGATGATGAGTAAGAAGATCAAGATACTCATGGCAGTATGGAGGAAATGAAAAATAAAGTGTGTTCGTAAAGCTTACTGTTTCCAGCAAAGATGAAGTTACAGCAGCACTTGTAACACCACCTGTTCTCATGTTTGCACGTACAGGGGCACCAAAGCCAATGGACGAATCATGGCGCCTTAAAAATCACTAAAAGCGTAAGTTTTCTGGAACAGATAAAATTGAGCACATATACTCATATTCTTGTCGAGAGTTGAACTTACCGGTCCGAGATTGACTTTTCCAAGTCAATGAAGGCACCACCGCATATGAAGAGAATGTCTTTTGTATCAATCTGTAGAATAGAGCAGTTGCTTTGAATGATTTCACGAACAAATAAATATTTGAGCACAAGATGTGGAGTAATTTTAAAATCAAATCTAAAAAAAAAAAGGTCTTTTTTTTTATTTTATCAAACGATAATTGTTATATAAATAACTTAAAAGCAAGTACAAGATTGGACTCATATCCCCTTGGATTTATACAGATTACCAAGGGGAAAAAACAACTAAAACTTAAAGAAAACCCACAAACGGGGACAAAATACTCTTAAAAAGGAGACTAAAACCCAGATACAGCTGGGACTAACACAACGAAACACACACAACAACACACACACCCATAACAAAAAAAAAGAAAAAAAAAAGGTCTTAGTAAGCATAAATATTCACATGAAACTACTGAGACAAAGTGAGAGACATATACTATGAAAAACAAAGTCACGAGTGAATAAACAAATAGATAATAAAATCAGGAACGTGATGCCATATAACGGAGAACAAAATCCGTTAAAACACAAATCAAAGGTTTCTTGAGAGTCTAAAAGCTGCTATTGGGAGAACCAAGAACATCAAGCCAACATATATAAGGAATTTATCAGATCAGTTGGTCTATGTTGAAAAATTTATAATCATTTGTATCCACCAGTTAATGCTTATCCCTTGGAAAGAGCAGTCCCAATGATTTTCATAATAAATTCATAACATAAAAAAAATAGTCAACTTCGTATCCTCACACAGTCATATTACTTTACCTGAATATTGTCGCCTCTAGGATGCTTCCGGGCACCCTTCTCTGGAACATTAACCACCTAAGTGGCCACAAGAAAGTTACTTGATGTGATATTTCAGCTATTCTTGTGAAGCTTTAGGGTACATACGGCACAAGATGATGCTATGTGCAGTTAAGTCACCGCCTGATTTATGCTTTTAATTTCAAAAACTACATGTGTCTGTTTAGCATCATTTTGTTTTTTATGAGAGAAATATAAATACCCCCTTGGCATATGTTCATGCCCTGGAATAGTCAAAACACAAGGGAGTGCTATCCGTCATGCAAACACAAATCTCGAGGAGATACATGTAATTTTAAATAAACATGCTCGTTTTTTTAGGATTAAACTAAATCCCTTAATTGATATCTAGCTTATGTGGGTTATCACATCAAGGAAGAAAATTAAACACTTACGGTCCCCTCGAGCATTTTTAGCAGTGCTTGCTGCACACCCTCCCCCGAGACATCTCTACTGATATTGAGGCTCTCGGCCTTCAGATTCAAATAGAAACCATAAACATGCATATAGGATAAGATTAATAGATTTTACACAATGCGATGACGATAACAGTGGATGAAAAAATTGAAATCTAGTTTGGTTGACCTTCTTGGTGATCTTGTCAACTTCATCGATGTAGATAATGCCTTGTTGTGCAGCTGTCACGTTATAGTCTGCAACCTAAAATGAAAATATAGTTCAATCTTAAGAAAAAAGACACTAAATGCTCAGAATCCAAAAGGCAGAAAAAACTATGTAGTGACATACAGGGAAAATTAAGATTTAAATTTATACTAAATTGGTCAAAAATAGATTCCCAATTGCCCAATCCCTCTTATTATCTTTACAATATACAGAATCTCCTTCAAGTGAAAAAAATAATAAATGGCAAACCAGATAAAATGAAACCAACAGGTAATACCCCCAGTTATATGTTCACGAGTATTCTTAATGCAAGAATATTCACACACAGACGTGCACCCACACAGATGTGATGTTTTTCCATTGTAAAATTATAAATGAAAGGAAGTTATTGCAAAACAAGATGTGAGGAAAAACAGAGTCTGTCGAGCTTACTGTAAGCAGCTTATATAAAATGGACTCCACATCTTCCCCAACGTATCCAGCCTGCAAGATGCATACTAGAATAAAGGTATGTATACAACAAGAATTTATATAAGTCATAATATCTTAAGTACTCAATTTAGAACAACCAATAACAGATATACGAAGTCGCACCAAGTTATAAATATCTCAAGGTTCTTTGAGGGAAAAGAAACTACATGTAATACATATTCATTCTGCTTCATTACAATTCATTCTGCTTCATTGTGACTTGCCTGAGTAAGTGTGGTGGCATCAGCAATTACGAAAGGAACATTTACCAACCTCGCCAAAGTCTTCGCCAGTAGTGTCTTCCCTTAAAAAGACATTAGAACCACACGTTGAGGCAGTTATATTGGGACAAAGAAGATAATATATACTTCAAAAACCATGAAAAGAAAAGAAAAGGCAAATAAATAATGATGGCTCCTGTCAACAAAAGATTACTCCTCCCCTCTTATTTCTAAAAATTTTAATGAAGAAAATGAGTCAGCCACTAAAAACAAGAAATTACAACAAATGAATCATGGAGAAAGTATGCCAGAAGGAAAAGCGAAAAATAGTAAATCATCGTATAATTGAAAGGCAGCCCAAGCGAAGATTCCTTGGAAAATCAGGAAAAACAAGGAAGAAAAGATAAAGACCCTCACATACACTATGCAATCTAACTTACATTATTCAAACGTATAACTAATCATGAAAGGTGTCACCACAATACATATTAATATTGTACAGTAAACTTTTTTACGCTTAATTTCAACATTCTATTAAGCAAACGATGCATTTTGAGAAAACTACCTGAACCCGTGGGACCCATAAGAAGGATGTTACTTTTTTCGAGTTCCACATCCTTGTCATTAGTGCCATCATCTTTAACGCTATCTGATGCCTCCGCGCCAGCAGGCCTAGCTTTCATGGTAGGAAAAGTACCAGTATTGCATAAAATATTAATGTGGATGCTGAGTTGATCATCACAATGTAAAAGCACAAAACACTAATTTAAATAGGAAATGATCATAAGACGAAGTTACAATTTCAGCCGGCAATCATCAGTAGTTTAGCTAAGGGCAGGGGAAAGGAGACAAACTCAGTGGCCGAAGAAATTTAGATTCATAAAGATGCCATTTGAACACCTATCTCACTCTTAATGATTTAAGCGATGAATGCACCTCAATTGATATAGAATACCCAAGCCATTACCTTTGAGATACATCATTGTATATCCTCTTGTAATGATTATAAACCGCTACAGAAAGTACCTGCAACAAAGAAATTTTACTAAAACCAATCCACATTATGATTTGAAACTGAAAAATATGAAGCAATTAACAAGAAAGAAGAGCGTAAAGACCAAGAAAAACCAAAACTTAGAGGTAACAAAGAAACAACAAGACACAAATAACAACTATTGAAGTGACACTCATCCTCAATTAAACAAGCACTAAATGCAGAAAAGATGAACCTTTTTAGCTCTCTCCTGCCCAATCACAAACTTATCAAGCCCTTTACATATTTCCTTTGGAGTTGGAAAACTCTGTCCCAAATTTGATCCGCCCCATGAACCCTCTTGCGGCCCTCCTCCACCCGGGCCCGTATCCAGCCCGGTCCCATCACTCATCTGAATGTATTTAATCCCGGGCCCCAACATAATCCCATCCCCGTCCAGAGGACCTTGAGACCTATTACAGTTCAGAACATTCCTCGCAATGCTAAAAGATCTCCAAGAATTCTTTCTGACGGGCACGAAAGGCCCGAAAATGAAGGGGGAGCTTGAGTGGAAATTATGATTCCTTTGATAATCAATACGATATCCGGAAGCCCGCCGGAATTGGTTGACCCGACCCCAATATGTATGATGCTGAATAAAGTTTTTTATCCGCGAAACCGCGGCTGAAGCTGTATCTTTCGAGGATTTTGACCACAAAGCAGCTGCCATGGCAGAAAAGGCATAAAAAAGTTAAGAATCTGTGTAAAAGAATGAAAGAGCTCTACAGCGAAAATAAGGACATGAATTTGGAGGAAAAGGTGAAAACTGAAATGGGTTCTATTCAGATTTGTAGAGAGATCAAATATCTGGTAAATTTGGAGGGGAGGAGTGGTGAAGGATGAGATAATAGGCTTCGGAAAGTCTTGTTTAAAAGTTTGGTCGGAATTTGGAAATCTACACGGGTTCTGGTCATGTACTTGCCAAAATGAATAAGGTAGATAATTTTTTTTGTTATAGAAATTTTATAGAAAAATAAATAATTACAAATAGAAGACGATCTGATGGTAGCGAGAAAAAAGATCGCCTAGAAATTACACTGGAGAACTAACTACTAAAGAGTAAAGAACGCACCAACTCACACAAACAAAAAAAACTCAAATAAAGAATAAAACTCTCCAACAAGAGAATAACACTTTCATACGAGAGAATTACACAACACACGAGAACCTATGACACCAAAACACGAACACTAAGCAACACAAACCCAACCAAACAAAAAAACCACACAAACACAAAACAGAGAAAGGCCAAAACCAAATGACAAACTACAAAGCCCAATACATCCGCCATCAAAACTCCTAGAACCACAGAGGAGACAGACCTCTCACTACGGACAGATTCACAACCCTAGCCAAAAACTAGAATCTGCATAAGGCCTAACTAGATCCTGTCCAAATGAGTCGGACCTCCTCCTAAAAAAACCGCCCTGGGACCTCGCCGCAAGATCAACACCTTAGACCCCCCACCGCCAAACCGACGATGGTAGCTGCCACACCGAGGGAAACAACACCAACCACTGTCACACCTTCCCATTCAGTTCCCCCTCATTACCAGGGGCGGACAAGATCCAAGAGAGGCCAAACTGGTGTGGACCTCAAGCCCATCCACCACCAAGGCGGCAGATATGCGTATAAAGACGAGCACTCATCCAATCGTAAGATCCCCCGAAAAAAACCACCATGACCACCAGAGGAAAATGGCGAAGAGCCATATCGGACATGGTAGCAAACACGAACATGCCACTCACTACCGTTTCGATGAAGGTCGCCCCACGGTGGAGAAGAGAAAGTGGCAGCGGGGAGGATAAGTTGTGTAACACCCCGCCTACTATTACTAGAAATCAAAGTAAATTTTTCGCGCTTTATGATAATTTGAAAACACTGATTTAATTTTGAAAAACTTATATAACTTTTTGAAAAAGACTTTTCTAAATGCAAAGTGCTACTCAACATAATCTGATCTCTTTAAAGACTATAGGCATATAAACATCTAACTGTACTCGTACTATCTCCCGGGCTCTGGGCTGATAAATCATGCGTCTAAAAGTCTGAAATTTGAAATACAAGTCTGGACTGCGAAAGCAAATAGTAGATCGAATTCACAAACGTACATGATCAATAATCCTTCATGATATGCACATCAAAATATCCTCATGCTTAAGACCACCACCACATATCCAGCTCACGCGCCACGCAGGACTCCGTCACCTGAAAAATGGTTAGTAGGGAAGGAGGGGGCGTGAGCATAAAAATCCACGTGCTCCACCGGGACCGGCAATGAATACACAACTAATATATTAACATATCATGACATCGACATATATGCAAGTACTTACTAGGTTTGGCAGAAACGATACGATGATAAACATTATACTGACGCATCGCGAACTAAACATACATCTAATATGATAAGCACATCACAACCTAAGAATACATATAATATGATAAAACACATCACAACGGCATATAAGTAAGAAAACTGTCTATAATTGTTTCTCTACTTACTGTATATAATTGCTCCTTAACTGTCTGTCTATAAATGTTGCTTAACTGACGAGAAGACACTTGGCCTTCACGCTTACAATAACCAGCTGAAGGACCTAATGTGTATGGTGTTGCTCATACTAGGGTAAAACTAACTCCTATGCACTTCTAAAGTAGAGCTTAACTCAGAGCTGTGCTAGAGTCCTTGATACTAACTGGAGTTCAAAATCCTTGGTTATAATGAAACCTATCTCTAGGTCAATGCCCCCTGGGGGAGGAAACATTCTAGAATTACCACTTAACACAAATCTATACTAAGGTTCATAATTCACTTAACTCAAGCTTCACTAGAGTTCTTATCTCATCTTTACTAACGTTCGTATCACTTAGCTAGAAAGGACCTACTTGCTAGGTTATTGCCCATATTCGGGCAAACTAACTCTTACATACATACCTCAGCCAGTATATTGCGATAATAGAAAATTTAGCACCTAGTACAGGATACGAGAAGGATGCTTGGCCTTCACGCTTACAATAACCAGTTGAAGGACCTAATGTGTAGGTCGTTGCTCATACTAGGGCAAAACTAACTCTTATGCACTTCTAAAGTTAGAGCTTAACTCAGAGTTGTGCTAGAGTCCTTGATACTAACTAGAGTTCGAAACCCTTGGTTATAATGAAACCTTTCTCTAGGTCAATGCTCCCTTGGGGAAGAAACATTCTAGAATCACCACTTAACTGAAATTTGTACTAAGGTTCTTAATTCACTTAACTCAAGCTTTACTAGAGTTCTTATCTCATCTTAACTAACGTTTGGATCACTTAGCTAGAAAGGAACTACGGCTAGGTTAATGCCCCTATTCGGGCAAACTAACTCTTACATACATACCTCATCCAAGATATTGCGATTATAGAAAATGTGTTGGAAAATCAGTAATATAAAATTGGGTATGACCCGATTTTGACTGATTTGTTGATGGCTAAATATTTAATTTGGATTGAATTAAATTATGTAGAATAAATTCTACGTTCCAAGTAGAACTCGTGGTATATTTAATTTCTCAATTCTGATTTTCTGTGAGTGAGAAATAAATGTTAGCCATAAATGGGCACGCAGAACGTTGGTTGTGGGATTCGAATGGTTAAAAGTCTTATCCTATATAGAACTCTTAAATGATAGTAACTCTATATATTATGATAAAGAGAGTTGGAGAGGTCACAACAATAACAAAGTTATGTACCAAGTGTTGGTATATAAATCGAGTAGATTTTGGACTCGGGTTTTAACACAACCCGTGTGACATCGTTCCAGGTACATTGAACCTGGACGTGTGACCTTTCAACCACATAACAGTTTCAAGAGTTATCAGGTGAACTAATGGTGAGTTAAACCTGAAACATTTTGCAATTAAAACCAAGCCATGAATGGATGTTAATGGCTTGGTGGTTACAAGCCATTAATGGTTGTTAATGGCTTGGTGGTTACAAATTTTGAATAGTCATCAAAACCAGCCATGAATGACCTTTAATGGCTTAGTGGTTACAAATGAAGAGTCATCCCCCACCTAGGTGGAAGTCCTATAAATAGGACATAGAGTTGTAGAGGAAAGTAGACTGAGACACGAAAAATCTCATATGCATTCTCAAATCTCTCATATCTCATAGCCTCACGCATACATAGTGCTCAGTTCTCGTCTCTATTCCTGTTCGCTAGAACTCTGAAGACTGGTGTGCTACAGCTTCCGAGTGTATAGCCGTTGTATCTTTGGGGACATTACGCACAGACCCGTCAGCACTATACGGGGCGTATTTGTCTTGCGGAAAGATTCCAGTCGCCTCGGCTTTAATCTGTCTGCATTCGTGTTGTATTTTATATTTGTTGTTTAGTTCATATTGTACGAACTGAACTCTTCAGTCAGTTCATAGGTTCTCGTTGTAATTCAAAATACAAATTGTGTAACAACCGCAAGACAAATATTCAACACCTACTGAACTGATGGCATCCACTGGAGAAGGATCACAAACTCAACCACCTGTCACCCCCGCTGTTCATCTTCCCCAACCTGGTGTTCATGTTCCCACTGCTGAGAAGCCCGAAAAATTCAACGGGCTTGATTTCAAGAGGTGGCAACAGAAGATGCACTTCTACCAGACCACTTTGGGTTTGGTGAAGTACCTGAAAGGCGACCCTCCTGTCGTAGCTGAAAATGAATTGAATGCTGAGCTGCGAGCTGCATACGATGCTTGGAGGCAAGGTGATTACCTTTGCGGAACTATGTCCTCAACGGACTGAGTAACAAGTTGTACAATGTGTATAGCTCGGTTGGCTCTGCCAAGGAGATTTGGGCTGCTTTGGAAAAGAAATACAAAACTGAGGTTGTCGGGGCGAAGAAATTCGTCGTCGGCAAATTTTTGGAATTCAAGATGGTCGACACTAAGACCGTCGTGTCTCAAGTGCAAGAGTTCTAACTCATCTTGCACGACATTCATGCTGCAGGAATGTCTCTGAGCGAGTCATCTCAAGTTGCGGCTGTGATAGAGAAACTACTGCCGGGTTGGAAAGACTTCAAGAACTATCTCAAGCATAAGAGGAAGGAGATGAGTCTTGAAGAACTGGTTGTTCGTCTTCGGATTGAAGAGGACAATCGGAAGTCTTCAGGGAAGGCCCCGATGATGGAAGCTCGTGCCAACTTGCTGGAGCAAGGCAACTCAAGAAAAATGAAGCCCCTTAACAAAGGGAAGCAGCAGTCTGCCAAAGTTTGGAAATTTACCGGCAATTGCCACAACTGTGGAAAGCCGAACCATATGGCTAAGGACTGCAAGAAGCCTAAAAAGGCTGGAATGAAGAAGGCACAACATAGTGCCTTCGTGGCTGAACACGGCCCTGTGCCGAGTGAACTAACTGACATGGATATGTCGGCTGTGGTGTTTGAAGCTAATTTGGTGGATAACCCAAGGGCGTGGTACATTGATACTGGTGCCACTCGCCACGTGTGTTCTGACAACGGGTTGTTTTCTGACTACACTCCTTCAACTGGTCGGAAGCTCCACATGGGCAACTCCTCCTCGTCTGATGTGGCTGGATTTTGCATCGTGGTGCTGAAGCTGACTTCTGGAAAGGATTTGAAGCTTAAGGATGTGCTGCATGTCCCAGACATCCGCAAGAATTTGGTCTCCGGATCTCTT